CTGGCATGTTGTGATGTTGATGAGTTTCAGTGATTCCCTCAGTTTGCTTCTGAAGAGCCGTACAGCACGTGAGCTGTATATAGTACTTCTCTGCTGTTTCCCAAAAGAAATCAAATCCTAACTCTGTCTTTTATACGGACATGTTTCAGAGAGGCAGAAAGCACAGATCATCCTCCATTAGCAGCACTGAAACCCCGTGTTCACTAATTCTGACATGCACTAGTGTGTTTGTCTTCTCTGTTGATGTCATTTGTTCTGATAACAACAGAAAACACACAGAGAAGCAGCGGCTCTCTGGAGTTCAGAGGTCAGTCAGTGAAGCATTAACCAGCCGCCGTAAATCCCTCTCAATCATCACGGGTTTCAGCTCTGCCTCAGAGCTCAGAGTCCAGCTCCAGAGACCGAGCTGATGTCCACTGCAGCGGCGTTTCTGAGCGAGGTCCCGGGATGGTTTCTGTGGACGGGAGTCTTCTTCCCCGTGACGGCTCTCCTGCTGCTGCTCATCGCTCTCCTCAGCTGGAAACTCAGAGAGAGTAAGACTGTCTTACACTGACATTAGCCATGAGAAGCAATAGGGAAACCGGGGAGACGTAACATATACAGTATATACATTACCATTCAAAAGTTTAAGAACATTTTAAAGGCTGCATTTATTTGATTGAAAATACAGTCAATACAGTAATATTGTAAAATATTATTATAATTTAAAACAGCTGTTTTCTATGTGAATCTCTGTTAAACTGTAATGTATTTCTGTGATGCGCAGCTGTATTTTCAGCATCATTACTCCAGTTTTCAGTGTCACATGATTCTTCAGAAATCATTCTAATATGCTGATTTGCTGCTCAACAAACATTTCTGATTATTATCAATGTTGAACACAGTCGTGCTGCACAATATTTTTGTGGAAACTGTGATACATTCTATTTTTCAGCATTCTTTGATGAATAGAAAGAGTTACTTTTGCAACATTATAAATGTCTTTACTGTCACTTGTGATCAATTAAATGCATCCATGGTGAATAAAAGTTTAAATATAAAAAAAACTAACTGACCACCACCTTTTGAATAATAGTGTTTGTGTATATACTGTATATTCCCATCATAACTCAAAGGCTCAATGAAAATAACCATGAATAATGAGTTGAGTGTGTATGAAAAAAGTACAAGCAGGACCTACATTATATTTATTTGCAATATGTCAAAAGTGCATTCACTAAAACATTTATGAGCTGATAATTTTAAAAACTTCAGCTAGATACTTCAATTAAATAATATTGTTTACATATTTTTAAGATTCAATCTTACAGTTAAGTTTCATGATTTTTATAACTGGTGATAAAACCATCCCAGCCTTGTCTGGTAGCTGCACTAGCATCTGTTATTCATGTTAACAATGCATCATCATCATCATCATCATCATCAACTTAAGACACCAGCAGGAAATACTGGATATGCACACACACACACACACACACACACACACACACACA